GACTGCCTCCAAACGCAGCCCAGGCCCCTCGACTTTTTCCCCGCAGCCCAGAAGTCCCTAAAATGCGCGGCCCCCCAGGCCGTCGCAAGGGGCCTCCGCGCTCGCCCCCGGAGGCGATGTGCCGAAGGAAAGATTCCAATGGGGCCGCATCCCCCTTTTTCCTTCGCCAGGAGGGCGATGATCACAGCCGAGAGCTGAGTCGGAAGGATGCCGGATTTCTCCGCGAGCGAGAAGAGGCGCGCGAGGAATTCTAAACTCTCGTCACTTAGCAACGCAAAGTGCCGCATGTGAAAGCCGTCAAAAGACACCGCGCCCCCGGCATGATACCTCTTGCTCAGCCTTCGGAGGTCCTCACCATGCGTTAGGGCCAAGGGCTCAAACACCTTCACCTGAAACGAGGGGGGGGCCCGACGGACCTGCCAAAGGCCCGAGGACCTGGAAGCTCCCAGGTCCAGCAGGTGCCGGGGGTCGGACACCACCTGACCTTCCGCCGAGAGAGTAGCGGTCGGGCGCCAGACCTGGGGGTCATTAAGGGGGGGGTGAGCACTCCTCGCACACAGATTGAATCGATCGGTCAATCAGGCATGCCAATTCTTCCTCGCGACCTCCTGGCATTGCTAAATACACGCCCCGAGAAGGTCACGCCGCTTGTCATACAAAGCCGAGATCGCAGAGGGCAGCGCCTACCCATCTCGCAAAGGGGCAGCTTCAGGGACAGCACCAACGACGTCGTCGTCGCGACCCTGGAGATCATCGAAACGGTCGCGGTCCGAACAAGCCAGCAAATTCACCGCCCCCGAGACCTGCGCCCCGTCCACGCAGGGCAAATCACAAGAAACAGCCGGTGGCAGATGGTCCGATTCAGCTATAAGATTACGAGCAGGAGGGCGATCAACCAGGGACTGGCAACTCCCGTCGGATCCTGACCTTTGAAATCTCGAAACCGCATCGAGCGCAGCGCGGGGAGGAGGGGGCGCCTCGACGACGCCGACGAGGCCCTGCCCTCCAGGCGCAAGCGAAGAGGCAGCAGGCAGCAGAGAAAAAGAACAAGCAGCATCCCACTCCACCAACATCTCCAACATGGTATCGGAATGCTTCTTATACTCCCCCTCCAATTGCCTCGGGGCCCAGGCCGAGCTCTCGGCGGCGGTGGCCAGCCCCCTTGCCAGCTCAACCTGAGGTGGAGGCAGTAGACCTCGCAGACACTCCTGGGCCGACTGCGCACAAGCCCTGCACCCCGCACAGAGCCACCTGAACGCCCGATGCTCTGCAGACCTGCAGGCATTGAAATCCTTCCTAAGAATCGGTTTCCGATCAATCACGGGGCCCTCACCACGGGACCCATAAACCTGGAGCCCCCCCCCCCCAAGCCTGGGCCAAGGCTCTTTTTTTTTTCCGAAGCGTTGGCCCATTGCCTCTAGGTCATGTTGAGGGCCCTGGAAACAGCCCCCGCGCCCCTGGAACGAATCCCCTTGTCACACCCCTTCAGAAAAGCGCGACCCTTGGAGACATCACCTGGCCGACGGGCCGCCCCGGGAGGCGGATCCACGGCAAGGGGGGGGAGGCGGGCTTTCGGAAGCCCGAAGCCCGAAGACGTGCCAGACGAGGATGACACTGGGGATCCACCGCGAACTGAAGCGAGGAATCCGAGTCTGGGCAGGGGTCGACTGACCTCGAACCTCTAGCAAGACCGCTCGAGACAAGGAAGCAGTTGTAGCAGCATGATTGCTTCGCGGCAAAACACGCAGGACCTCCCGTCGAAATCAATTCGCCTCGGCCCTTCTCCAAAATACCAAGGCCCTGTACTTCTGAGGGTTCAAGGTTGAAGTCCCCCGACCACGAACGCGAGGCCCTGCGCCCCATGGTGGGCCCCCACTTTGCGAAACAACTCCAACCGCCTATCCGCGACCCCCTCGGAATCAAAACCCGTCGAAGGACACGGGAGAGAACGGGGCCTCTCCTGGAAGATGAGCGACGGCACCCAGAGCACGCCCAGGAAATATATAACACGGTTGATGAAGCCCCAAAAAGTCACGGCACAAAACAGCCACACCGCCCGACGCGCCCCCCCCCCCCCAGGCGCTCGGACAGCATCTGCCCACAACGACGTCCAACGGCTGTCAGAGCAAAACTTCGAGGCACGACCTAAGCTCTACACAACAGCCAGGTGGCGCTTTTGCACCAATTAAAACAGGAGATGAGGTAGCCGGGGGCAGCCAGTCACGTAGCGCCCCCCCAGCTGCTGCAATTTGCCGTAGCGATGACAAGTTTCAGGAGATAAGCATCTGGCCTGGAACCTGGACCTGGAGAACCACGACCCTCCAAATCCTCCAAAAAAGTTGTGGCCTTCAATCAATCTAAGGCTGAAGGGGGTCACCAAAACTTCAAAACTTGGCCCCCCCAAAACGGAAGAAATCCTGGGAACCCTCTCAGCCTGGATCCTCCACTGGGTCAATACTACATACGGGCCTGGCCAGACCCACTCTCAGCCTTGCCGAGGGCACGGCACAACCGCTCACGGAGCTCCGGGCTGGCTCCAGAGGCGGGCGGCGCGCGCGCAGCAGCGGCCTGCTGCTGAGATGCCCCCGCAGAGGCCGCCGCACCAGAGGCGGCTGAGGCTCCACCTCCAGCCTCAGAAGAAGCAGCAGGCGGCGCCTCCCCAGCAGCAGCGGCATCTCCAGCGCCATCACCTCCAGGTGCAGCGCCTTCACCAGACTCCCCCGTCTTGCGCCTCTTGCGCACCAGACGGGCGACGTGGGCCTTGTGCACCTTGCGTGCCTCCTCCAGCGACGAGCTGGCGTTCCCGAAGAGCTGCTTGGCCGCCTCGCGTAGCTGTTCAAGGAAAAGGTCATTTCTCCCCTGAAGTTCCTTCCTGTCGTCCCTGGAGATCTCGAACTCTTCGGGAATGTCGTCCAGCAGGTCATCGGCGAGGTCGATCTCGGCGTCCGCCTCCACCAGGGCCCTGAGGCTGAGCTTGGGAGCAGCCGCCTCGGCAGCCACAGGCGGCCCCACTTCCACGCGGATCTGGGCCACCAGCTCCTTGTAGTGGTTCTCGTGACTGGTGAGCTCCTCTGAGAGCTGCTGAATCGACTGCTCCAGCTGCTTGGTCTCCGCCCTCCAGCGCTCGAGCTTGTCCAGCTCCCGCTCGATGCGCTTCTCACACTGCTTGATATTAGTCTGCGACTGGCTGGCACGGGTATGGAGCGAAACTGGCTGTCCCACTCGAGACTTTTCCCGAACCAGTTGAGCGTCACAGTCCTTTTCGTACTTCTTACAGAGCGCTGGTTGCCCTTGGTTACGCGCCACGGAAGCCACGCCGTCGAGCTCTGCCCCTCGGTGTTAATGGAATCAGCCTTAGGTGATGGTGGCCACACTGCACCCCATCCAGCTCCACGCCCACGCAAAGGCCCAGGAGGAAGAGGAACATGTGGATCAGGAGCAGCAGCCAAGGCGAGCGCGTCGCCGTCTGCTTCCGCTTCGACACCTGAAGGTGGGCACCATTGGGACCCACAGTGCCTGCAGTACCACCACGTCGAGAGGTTGCGACCGCAGCCACACTGTTGGCACTTCCACAGCTGCTTACGGCGCGACACTCGACGGACCTTCCACGGAGCGCCGTCCATCGCGGCAGCTGCTGAATCGTCTGAAAGAAGCACGAGCCACTGGCTCGCGCAGGCGCCACCTGCGCACTGTAGGCTGAACTGTGCAGGCGCCACCTGCAAACAGTAGGCTGTGGGACAAGCCAAGAAAGGCTCGGTCGTGCAGACCCGTTTTGAAGTTCGCACGACCAAGCTCAGAATCAATATGAGCCAGAACGGCTGACAGTTAATTCAGGAGTGCAATGGACGCTCCAAGAAGGGGCTGGAAAATATCCAGAGAAGTATGCGGGGGTTGTTCCCAGGCTACAAGAGTCCAGCGGCCCCCGTTCACGAGGCTACCACCTGCTGCATTCGGCGCGATCATGCGCGTCGGATGGTGCCATGTGCCCTGTAGGTTCTGAGGCCACGTGGACGGTGGCGCCCAGGACACTCTGGGACACTCTCACTCTCTCTTAGCTCTGGTCGGCTGGATCTGTATGCCTCGCTCGCTGACATGGCCCGTCTCCTCCCCCGTTTCATTCCTCACTCGGCCCATGCTGGCCTGCCCTCCCTCCAGCTCTGCCATCCCTCTTCTTTGGTCTCACCCGAAGTCGAGGTAAAGGCCCTTGCCAGCAGGAGAGGGAGCAAGGGAGAAGGACGGGGAGGAGGAGAGGCTCCCTCTTTCCCTCCCGTTTCCCCTCCTCCCTCCTCCTCCTCCTCCTCCTCCTCCTCCTCCTCCTCCTCCTCCTCCTCCTCCTCCTCCTCCTCCTCCTCCTCCTCATCATCACCGCCATCACCATCACGATAACCACCACCACTATCGTCACCATCATCATCACCGCCAACATGATCACCAGAACATCCGTGGCCACCACTACCAGCAGCAGCACCACCACCATAATCATCAGCATCACCACCATCCGCATCATAAACCTCATCAGCATCATAATCAGCAGCATCATCATCAGCAGCAGCATCGTCATCATCATCAGCAGCATTATCCTCATCATCTGCAGCATCATCAGCAGCATCATCAGCATCATCATCTGTCATCGTCATCATCATTACCACCAGCATCATCAGCATCGTCATCGTCATCAGCAGCATCAGTAGCATTATCGTCAACATCATCATCAAACCACAACCATCACCATCATCGTACTCATCAGCATCATCATCATCATCAGCATCATCATCAGCATCACCATCATCAGCATCATCGTCACCATCATCACCATCACCACCATCATCAGCATCATCATCAGTATCACAATCATCATCAGCGTCATGATCATCATCGTCACCACCATCATCACCACCATCATCAACATCACCATCAGCAGTAGCAGCAGCATCGCCATTCTCGTCCTATCACTCCGCACTCCCTCCTCATCCTGCCTCGCATGACCCCCCTTCCTCGACCGTCTTCGCGAAGTCGGTGCTAACCTCGATCCCCAAGTCAATGACCTCGACGGAGCAAAACTCTGGCAGGGGGGCGGAGAGGGGGCCTAGGAGGAAACAGAAGAATCAGTGATAAGGGGGGAGGGAGGCAGAGGAGAAGGAGAATACTCTCCCGAGGGAGCGAAATCGAATATCGGATGTGATCAAGGTTGCACCGTGGAGTTGGTGAGACAGAGCTGCCACAAAGAAGTACCGCTGGCTGTCGTGTTCGTCCTCAGTGCGAGACGAAACATCTGCCACTCAGATGGCGGAAGCTGGGACCACAATTTTTCGGCATCTCGTTGGGTGTCGGAGGCGAGTGCCACGTGTGCTGAATTCGAACACAAATTTCCAAGCGCATTCCGAGGGGTGCGTTTTGACCGCCCGTCTTTTTTCTTTTACTGCCGAGGCGGTGGCGCTCGGTGATGACATCCAGTTCGTGTCCAGATTATTCCCAAGCGTCAATCGGCCAACCAAGCGTGCCCAAGCATACTTCATTTCCGTGTCACGTTTGCTCGCAATGCTGCCGTGAATGCCGTCGCTGGCGACGGTCGCGTCTTCGTCTGCACTCAGCCTGTCCCGATAAATGATCAGCTAGGCGTCGGAAATGAGGAAAACCATGATGATGCCCTACAGAGAAAGTAGAAGCAGAATGGATGATGAGGATGAGAAGGAGCGAGAAAGAGAGAGCGAGAGAGAGAGCGAGAGACACAGACAGAGACAGGGACAGAGACAGACACAGAGACAGACAGAGACAGAGACAGAGACGGGAATCGAGAGAGAGAGAGACAGACAGAGAGACAGACGTAGAAAAAGAGAGAGAGAGAGAGAGATAAGCAGAGACAGAGTGAGAGATAGAGACGAGAAGGATGCAAAGAGAGACTCAGGGAGATAGAAAGAGAGAGAGAGAGAGAAAGAAAGAAAGAGACGCGGGCAATGTAGCACCAGGAAGCGAAAAAGGCATGTGCACCACCACCATGCCCTTTGCAAGAACAGCGCGTAGCACGGTGGCAACGGGTTCGCAAAGTGAGCAACGTGCTCTGTGTCACTCTCCTCCTCTTCCTCCTCCTCCTCCTCCTCCTCCTCCTCCTCCTCCTCCTCCTCCTCCTCCTCCTCCTCCTCCGCATCGGCATCATCATCATCATAATCATAATCATAATCATGATAATCCTTTTCCTCTTCGTCCTCCATGGCATTACAGTATCTTCCATGGCGCGCTCCTCCTCCTCCTCCTCCTCCTCCTCCTCCTCCTCCTCCTCCTCCTCCTCCTCCTCCTCCTCCATGGCATTATCCTCCCCAGAGCAGGAGGAAGAAGAGCACCTACTTTGACGTCTAGGCGTGAGTTTGGCCTCGTACCGACGTGCCCTCGGGTGGCACTAAACGCACTAGCGATCCTCAAAGGTGCGCAGACAAGTGGGAGCCAGGGCGGTGAGGGACAAGAATTGGAAAAGGACGGCGAAGATCAGAAGGAGGAGGAAGGGTAAGAGGAGAGAAGGATCAGAAGGAGGAAGTTGAAGGAGAAGGGGGAGGGGAAGGGGAAGGCGAGGGCGAAGAGAAGGGAGAGGGGGATGGAAGCGGGGACGGGAACGCGAAGGGGAAGCGGTACAATCTCGAGCCTGGGTCCGGTAGCATTGCCACTGAGGGCAGGGTCAAACAATCGGCCGACTGCCAAAAAAGGAAAACAAGGAGGGCTGCACGCCCTTGCCTACGTGCGCCCTACACACCGCACGTACAGCTCACAACGAAGCTGGACATGGCTAACGATGCAGGACGACAAGGGAGGCACGGCTGCGTTTGCCTCCCCCCCGAAAGAGTGACAGCACGCAACGCCACGTACTGCTTCGAGGGGGCAATGTGCGCAAAGGCGGTACCTCCGCCAGCCAGAGGGCTTGACTTGATGCAATGTGTTTTAAAAGCGCGATGAATCGGCAGGCGAAGGAAGAAAGCTGACGGACGAAGCGAGCCTCCGATGAATGACCCACACGCCGATGAGCGAACCGCCTGGAAGCCTGAAGTTATACGCAGCGGCCGAGGGAGCCAGTACCGACCCTGGCGCGCAACAACTACGATCGGGAGCTTTTGCTTACCGCGTCGCGGCGGCAGCCCCAGCGACACGGTATGCCCTGCGAGCTCTTAGCGTGCCGCTTCGCCCCGTGGGCCGGGAGGCTGGCAAGAGCTCGGGACGTTGATACCTACGGTAAGAGCTGGCAAGAGCTCGAGACGTGGTTAGCCAGTTGCGCCGAAGCGTGGTGGGGCAGAACCGGCGAAGCGGCGCGCTAAGCCGAAGGACCTGACCTTCGGCACAGCGCAGAGAAACAGGTAGAACGAAGCCGCCCGGCTACTCAGAGGCCAACTCTGGCTGGCAAGACGCCACGCGCTGGAACGCTGGCGGGGTCTGGCTTTCCGACTCGGGAGCGTTTCCTGCCACTGGCGGCACGAGTGTGCACCCTGGTCTTTGCAGCTTGGGGGGAGGTGCGCTGGCCGGGGACGGCACCAAGACGGCCCCGCGACGGCCCCAAGGCAGTCCCAACACGGCCAGGAGGGCCTATTAGCTCCTTCACAGGATGCCCCCAGGAGCTCTACGAGGTATATATACATCGACCGCACGCGTTCGCGCAGCTCCTATGCAGTGCTTCCCAGGCCCGCGCGCAGCTCCCAGGAAGCCCTTAGGTGGCGCTTCCTAGGCCCTATCATCAGACCCTTGGGAGCCACGCGGGATAGCACGGCAACGGTGGAAGCTTCCCGTGGCGGACCAAGGTGGGGCAGCCCTGGACCTGTGGCTGGCACTGGTCGTGGTAATGATGCCGCAGCCTAGCCCGAGGTGGTGGTCCTCACCGTCAGGCCTGGATGAAGGGCCGTCGCGGCGACCTCTGCGTCGGTATACGGTCGAGAACTCTTGCTGAGCGTGCCGCCGAAGCGGGAGGCTGGGGAAAGCTCGGGCTGTTGACGCTCGGGGGCCACGACGTGGATAGCGCGTCGCGCCGAAGCGTGGTGGGCCGGCGGAGCGACACGCCAACCACAAGTTCCGACCGTATCCCGCAGTGCCGTCGGGAAGGGAACGGGTCTTGTGGAGGGAGTCGGATTGGCACAGTCGGCGCGCAGCGACCTGGACGGTCGCATGCGGAACACGGTTTTCACAAGCAGTAGCTGTTACAATGTTATCGATGGCGTGGCGATTGATGTCCTGCGCCGCAACGCCAACAAGATCGTCGTCGACGCCTTCCCGCCCCAAGCGCCCGGTGACCTTTTCCGCTCCCAGAAGAAGTCAAGTTCAGCCAGTACTGCGGCTGGGATGTGTTTCCGTCCCCTGGCGGCGGGTAGATGCAATCGGGGCCCGCCTGCCAGGATGGCGGCGAATCCGTCCACCGAAGTCTGGTTGCCTGCGAAGAAGCGATGGATACGGAGCGGAAGGAGACGGAGAGGGGGAAAGGGTGGGATAAGGGGAAGGGGGAAGGGGAAGGCGCAAGGAAAGGGGAAGAAAAGAGCGGGAAGGGGAAGGAGAGGGGAAGGAGTAGGGGAAGGGGAAGTGGAAGGGAAAGCAGAAGGGGAAGGGGAAGGGGAAAGGGAAGGGGAAGTGGAAGGCGAAGGGAAGGAGAAGGAGAGGGGAAAAGGCATGCAGGAGGAGGATGGAAATCGGAAGCCGGCAGCGAAGGCGAAGGAGAAGGCGAGAAGGATGACGAAGGAGGAGAAGGCGGCGAAAGGGAAGGCAAAGCGGAAGGGGGGGTAGGAAGGAGGAGACTGCGTCTTGGGGGTAGGAGGGGGAAGACGAGGAGGAGGAGGACAAGGAGGATGACCTGGAGGAGGAACATTAGGAAGAGCAGACTGGCACAGCCGTTAAGCTGGGCGTGACCATATCATTGTGGGAGCAGTTGGCCGCGTCCACGGCCACGACCGAACTCCTCACTCCACCTCTCTTCCTCCTGCTCCTCCTCCTCCTTCCCCTCTTCCTTTTCCTGATTATGTTTTTCCTCCCTCTCCTCCGCACCCTTCTCCTCTTCCTCGTCCATTATCCTGTGTTGCGTTGCCCGAATTTGGTGAATGACAAACCGTAGCGTACGTGAGGCGACCATAACAGGATTCGGCGTGGGCGGCGTAGCCTCATTTTTTGAGACAAAACTCCTAAACTGCTACACTAGACGCCCAGAGTAAGGAGTGCAACTAAAACGTACTGGTTCGCAAGAGCACGAGGGGCAGAATATCAGATTGGACGAATGAGTGTTGGTCCTCCTCCTCCTCCTCCTCCTCCTCCTCCTCCTCCTCCTCCTCCTCCTCTTCCTCCGCCTTCTCACCACCATCGTCGGCATCGTCATCATCACCATCATCATCATCCCCAATCGTCCTCATCATGCCTATCTTCATCCGCATCCTCATCATCATCATCATCATCATCATCATCATCATCATCATCATCACTTGCATCATCATCACCAGCCGCATCGGCATCACCAGCAGCTCCACCATCATCATAGAAGCCGCCCCAATCAGAATCGTCAGTGTCATCATCATGAGCGCCGTCACAGTCATCATCATCATCATCATCATCATCATCATCATCATCATCATCATCATCACCATCATCATCATGAAACGCCATCAGTATCACCATGACCAACATCGTCCGAGTCATCACCATCATCCTCATCATCGTTGTCGTCGCCATTATTATCGTCATCGTCCTCATCATTATCAGCAGCATCATCATTTGCATTCCGTCTCATAATGCACATTCCCTGACGACTGAGCTCGATCATCGCTCTCCTCACCAAGCTATTCGCGCGATAGAGAGAGGCGCGGGCGCACCCTTTTCCTGTCCGTGCGCAAGTACGCTCGGTCCCCCGAAGCGCACTTGTGCCAAACGCCCGCAAAGGCGGGCAGATGGACGATACAAACAAAAGCAGAAAGAGCGTCGTAAACGACCCCCCCGCGGAAGGCACGGAGCTACGTCGCCTCGCTTGCCGGCCTCCAGATCACCTCGTCAGGCGGCCCCAACCCAACGAAAACAATTTTCCGGCGGCTCCCATCCGAGTAGTACCTATCTCCTGCTGCAGAGGTGGCACTCCCGGTGCTCGACTTGCCCCGAACTTCACTCGACAAGCCCGCGAGGTGCGGCTCTGTTCGCTCAGCCGGAACGATCCTCCCCAGCAGCTCGCGACGAGCAGTCCAACCTCCATTAGAACCGTCACTGCGCAAGCTGTCCTGCCAGCGATAACTGCCTGAGCTCCAGTTCCTTTTGCCCGCGTCTCCAACATTGCCGTCACCCGATATGCCGTGCATCCACCGATTCCCAGAGCTACAATTACTCCATCGGCTCCCAGTGGACGAAGCCCACCCTGTTACTTTTGCCTCCTTCACAGCCTCTGCCGCGCCTTTTTTCCTTACCCGCTGACTTCGCATTTTCCAACAGGGGTGTCTTCGGCGGAGCTCGACGGGCGACGTCTCCTGGCGCCGCCACCTCTTGGCGGCCAGAGTCTGCATCGCCATGCGAACCGCCGCGGTCGAGAGCCGCGGCAGGGCCATGGCCACCCCTACGAGTCGCCTCGCGTCACGGCTGATCAGCCGAGCCCGCGCTGGCCCCTTCGCTTCCGTCGGGATCCGACGCCGGAGGCAGGGGGTGGCGAAGGAGAAGACGGCCCCGGCCGCTCCTCCTCGAATCTCAAGTCAGGGGGAATGGCACGACGACACCGCCATGGGCGGTCGGGATGACAGGCTACTCCCGAATCATCAGGCTCGCATTAGCGTCGGCAAGCCACGCATCAGTGGCAAGCCATTCACGCTCGCGAAGGCACGTTCCCATCTTTGCTCGGGCGCCCCAGGACTTCTCATTATGATTGAGCGCCCGCCCCTTTCCGAAGGCTTTAATGACGCGGTCAGTGGATTTATCCTCATCGGGTTCACTCAGGCCCTCCTTGACAGACTCTGCATTGCACGGATCCGAAAGAGATGCCGCCTCTACAGCGCACCTTGCTTGCCGGGTCTCGTCGCAGATGTCCTGCAACGTGACTTGCCCCTTTCATATGTTCTGCCGCGCAGCAGAACGCGCCGTTGGTGCCCCCCCTTTTCGAGCATGTCGCATGGATTGAAAGCACTCCTTCGACGCCTCGATTACGGCGCAGAACGCCAGGTCTCGAAACCAGCCATCGACGCCAAGGCGCCACGGTACTCGCCTTTCTCCTCGGCCTTGTTTACCTCAGACCGCCAGGATAATCTGCAACATCAATCTGTTGTTTGCTTCAGAGAAACACACTTTGGCAGCGGCGACCGCCGGGCTCGCGCGGGTCGAGCCGGTCGTCGTCGGAGGCTCTGCCGCTGCCTCCTGCTTCTCTTCGCAGGGTCGGTCTTGGACTTGCCACGGTGTCAGAGTAATTCACTTCCACCATCTTCTTTCAGCCACGCCACGTTGCGAATCGAGGGGGCAGCGCACGCGTCGCTCAAGAAGCATCGCTGCGCCTCTCGCAGGTTCCCCGTTGCTCGCGCAGCGCCCGAACCGCGGGCGACATTCCTGCCCTTCTCTTCTTTCCGCCAGAATCATCGGAGCGATGATGTTTTGCTTCCCGAACCAGTGACGAATAACCCAACTTGACTTCGCGCTCCTCAGCGCATCCATTCGCCCTAACCATTTCCACGATCGACAACGTCGACCTTTGCTGGGTCGCCCAGGCCCCAGTCGAATACAGTCGCGGCATGGGCGCCGGCACTGGGAGCTCGGATTGGGATCCGTCGTCGCGCATAGCTCTGGGCACAGGCTGATCACGTCTTCCGCATCAGGCGCCCCTTCCGCGTCATCAACGGGAATGAAAGCGCGCGTCCTTCTCGCTGTCGGCCCTCGCACCTCGCCCCCCTAAAAATAATCCGACATCGAGGTCCCTTCATAAGTCCCTTCTGCGGCGGAGCAGCATCGGCAACATGGTCCACTTCTGCTATATGCAGCCCATGCAGGCTCAGATCCGCCATCGTAAACCGCTCGCCAGCATCCGAATCTGCGCTATTCCCGCAACGCGGGCACGTCAACACCGAGCCCACGTTGTTCGCAACATCCGCACACAATTCACACTTCGCCCGGCCTTGGCACTTCCCCCATCTTCGCCAGCAATTCAAAAGACATGTCATTATTCAGGTCTTCCGCTTTCTTGGCAACTGATGCTCGCCGAGGTCAGCCGCGCAACCTGCGCTCCTTCGCGGAGCGAGATTAATTCCCACCGTGCCCCGAACATAGACGCTCGTCCATGACCATTTTGGACTCGTTGAATTTCACGACGCGCGACCCAGAGGCCTCTGCGAGGCTCGGGCATTCCCCTGTAAAAACTACGCCGACAGGCCCCATGCGGGCCTCGTAACTAGCACGCGTCCGAGAGTCGAAAATAAACCATGCAATATCTCATCGCGGTCGAACTCCCCGACTGTCACACGACCGCCAGCCCCATCTTCCGGCCGCCGACCGCCATCGCTTCGGCCGTCATCGGCGGCCCGCACACAGCCGGAGAACAAAAAATGTCCAAAGCGTTCGGGCTCGCGGGCGCCACGCCAGCCCCCCGCTTAGGCCTGAGCGCCCCGCCCCCGCGATGCGAGAGACAGGTCCTCGATTTCGGAGATATGTTAGAGTCGGGTCTTATCAGATTACTCGACTCTCCTAAAATAAGCATCGCAAAGACTACACCGCGGGAGCCCCCCATCCAACTCTCATAAGCGGGCGGGGCCCCCCCTCGCCCACGCGATCGATGGCGCCCCCGTCATTCGCGCGGATCAACCACGAAGTCTCGCGCGCATTGTCCACGACGCCCACCATTCCGCTTTGCGCTGCAATCCATCGCGATATGCAGAGCCATCACTTCGACACCTTACGACGCAAGGTTTCGTCATGATGAGGGGCGTAGCTGACAACGTTTAGAATAATCCAAGCGGCATCGGATTCTGCATCAAGTTGGCCCCCACACGGCACTCGACGTTGGAGACAGGCACCCATCCCCCGAATTGCTCACTGTTGCCGAGCAATGTCTCGGGATCCAAACCAAGGGAGTTTTGATGATGTGAACATTGTCTCTGCTGATTGCGGCCAGCCCCTTGCATGTTTCTCTAGAAGAATCCATGCGGCCCCATCAGGGGCCGCTCCGCGATCGCACCCATACGAATCACGACGCGCTGCGACGAACAACGGCAGGGCGCGCCTGTCTGAGGCACTCGGAAGCACCACGCAAGCTTTGTCGCACGTCGGCCCCGCAAGGTCAAACGACGGCCCGTTGAAGGATTTCCCATCATCTAAACCTCTGGTATGACAGATCCCAGCGGCAGCGCAAGGGTAATGGCCTATTGTTATTTCGACTTCGGGTCGAACAGCGTTTTCTTTATTTTCACTTCCTGCGCTCATCTTCCTCTTTGGCCCCCTCGCGACGAAGCCTTCCCTCTTGTCTGGCTCCACGCACCACTCGTCTCTATGATCCAATATTCTTGTTTACGTGAGGCATGACCCTGCTGGCCCCCGCGCCACCCTGACTCTTGCAGCGCGCTCTCCTGCAGTTTGCACAGTCGGCGCGGCGCGCCTGCTGGCGCAGGTAGCACTGAATTGGATTGGGGCGCTTGCGCGCCTTGCACGAGTCGACGCGGATCCTGCGCCAACTGTTTACAGCGTCGCAGCCGTGGCGGAGGCCTGTCTCGCGCAGGTTGCGCTCTCAGCCTGGGATACTTGATCCCGTAGAACGCGGTTCTTTCACTCTCTACAACTTTCTATTATTGACACCCTACTCGTGTTGGCGACTCTGCACCCGAAAACTGACGCCGATTTCTGGCCCTAGTACGCACCGAAGAGTACCTGCTACTTCTCGACCTCAGCGACGGTTTCTTTTCAAAGCTCACTGTCGAGGTTCTTGACGAGTCCCAGTTCGCCTTCGGCGCCTTGACACTAGTTGAAGCGCAATGGGCTCTAGCGTACCTCGATCCAACTGCACCTTTAGATCGGCCGCTGCGCATAGTATTGACAGGAGGCGACCTTGGACTGGCGACAAAGCCACCGCGCCCCAAGAACATCGCAGGATCTCCGCTGAACATGTCGCCATCATCATCCAACGCAATGCCTTCAGGTTCGGGCGCCTGCGATGGCACCTGACGGTATATTTTCGCACGGAATGGGTCGAGTGTCTCCACTCTTCTTCTGCAGCCTCCTCGAATGGAACAATTTCAAACCCGAGCCGTCCTGGCGAACGCTACCACGAGGGAAGTGCCCCTCACTCTTGGGGTCCAGTTCAAGGAAGACACTCTCGGCGGCGTCGGGGGTAGTTTATTGACGACTCTTAGCTGAGTCCATTGACTCAGACGTGTCAGACAATACTTGAAGCTCATGCAGTTCTTCTCCGCTTGTTATCATCGGATAAGCATGGCCGGTACCAAAAGCACGGTGGCTCGCTCGGCCGTGTAAGCGCGACCGGTGCCAAAGGTACCGTTGTCCACTCCACGAATACTGGGATCGTCTGCTTCGCCTTCAACGTCAGGTCGTCCCTCAGGGACAGCATCTTCAATCTCAGGCCGTGACATGTGCCCCAAAAGCGTCCCACATGTAATCACCTGACGACATGGCTGTGCCTTCCGTCGACTCAATCCCCTTCTCAGGCCTGGATTGGTTCTCACTGGGTACATCAGGAACAAATTCAGAGATGGTCGAAATCTGCGACCCTCGATCCGAATCCCGTGGAGATCCTTCTCGGCTGTCGGAGACGCCTTCAGGGTTACGATTATTCTTCCTCGGGGTGAATACGTCATACTTTCCATGACGTTCCCTCCCCTGCAGGGTCAGCTGTATGAGATTACTCGGCAATCCGTCGACTTATTACTTTCACCAAAGCAGGGTAGTGGATACCGGCACGCGGGCGCTGGAGAGAGATGCGCGCGCACCCTCTTCCTGTCCGCGCGCAACTACGCTCGGTCCATACACACATAAATATATATAAGCCAAACGCCCGCAACGGCCGGCGGTTGAGTGATCAAAACAAAGGAAGAGGGAGCCTTGTAAACGACTTTTCTCCACTTCGTCATCATCAGCAGCAGCATGGTCATCGTCATCTTCATCAACATCAGTATCAACATCGCCATATCAAAAACATCATCACCATAATCACCAGCATCACCATGACCAGCATCACACATATCATAAGCATCATCAGCAGCAGCATCATCACAATCACGATAATCAGCAGAATCATCATCATCAGCGTCATGCTCCTCACCGTCATCAAAAATCACGGGCGTCATCATCATCATCGGCAGCAGCATCACATGAGCATCATCGTCGTCATCCTCCTCGTCATCACCAACATCATCATCATCGGCAGCGTCGCCATCATCAACAGCATCATAATCGTCGTCATCATCATCAGCTGAAGCAATATCATCATCAACAATATCATTATCGCCGTCAACCCCATCAATCACGATCATCAGAATCACCATCGCCGTCATCCTTATCATTATCAGCACCATCATCACCATCATCATGATCTTCACAATCATCTTCAATCACCATCAAAAGCATCACAACCGTCGTCATCCTTCTCATTATCATCATCGTCAGCATCATTGGGGTCATCATCGGCATCATCCTCACAATAACCATCAACAGCAGCAGCACTATCATCATCATCATCATCATCATCATCGTCATCATCATCATCATCATCATCATCATCATCATCATCATCACCATCAGCATCATCATCCAGCATCATCAACAACATCATCATCGTCATCATCATCGTCATCATGCTCATCATCACCATCCTCATCCTCATCATCATCATCAGCAGAAGCATCATCACCACCACCATCACCCTCATCATCATCACCATCACCACCATCATCATCGTTATCATCTTCCTTCCCATCAACATCATCACCATCATCATCGGCATCATCATCTGAAGCAGCATTAGCATCAGCATCAGCATCAGCATCAGCATCAGCATCAGCATCATTATCATCATCATCATCATCATCATCATCATCATCATCATCATCATCATCGTCATCAGCATCATCATTACCATCATCATTATCATCATCAGTATCATCATCATCATCATCATCCTCATCATCATCATCATCAGATTCATCATCGTCATCATCATCATCATCATCATGATCGTCATCATCATCATCACCATCATCATCATCATCATCATCATCATCATCATCATCATCATCATCATCATCATCATCGCTCATCCCTCATCCCTCATCCCTCATCCCTCATCCCTCATCCCTCATCTCTCGTCCCTCCTCCAACTGCCCCTCGTCATCCTCTGCCCCACCTTCGCCTCCTCTGACAAGTCCCCAGCCTCCTCCTCCTCCTCCTCCTCCTCCTCCTCCTCCTCCTCCTCCTCCCTCCTCCTCCCTCCTTCATGCTCCCCGTCCCCAAAAGAAATTCTCCCGCCGTCAGTACCGAAGAGGTACCAGTTTTTCATCCTGAATCGTTTTTTGACGGTCACGGGGCCCAGCGAGGGCCTCTACAGGCCGAAAACAGCGAAAAACCTCCCTCCGTAGTTTTTTCATGCCTCGAGGGGGTCCCCCCCCTGCCCACTGATCGGCGTCGTACGCGCAGCACCTGCCGCACTGCCCGGCCCCCGCGAGCGTGGCGAGGCAGCCGCAGCCTCGGGCAGCCGCAGCGAATGCGCGGGGAGCAGCACAACGAGCGGCAGCTGCGGCACCGGGAGCAGAAACGCAGCAGAGACGACGAGGGAGCAGAGACGCTTCCTCTTCCTCTTCCTCCTCGTCCTCGTCCTCCTCCTCCTCCTAATCCTCCTCCTCCTCCTCTTCCTCCTCCTCCTCCTCCGCCTCCTCCTCCTCCTCATCCTCCTCCTCATCCTCCTCCTCCTCCTCCTCCTCCTCCTCCTCCTCCTCCTCCTCCTCCTCCTCCCCTCCTCCTCCTCGTCCTCCTCGTCCTCCCCCTCCTCCTCCTCCTCCTCCTCGTCTCGTCCTCCTCCTCCTCCTCCTCCTCCTCCCCTCCTCCTCCTCCTCCTCCTCATCATCATCATCATCATCATCATCATCATCATCATCATCATCATCATCATCATCATCATCATCATCATCATCACCACCACCACCACCACCATCATCATCATCATCATCATCATCATCATCATCAGCAGCAGCAGCATCAGCATCAGCATCATCATCATCAGCATCAGCATCATCATCATCATCATCAGCAGCAGCATCATGATCGTGATCATCATCATCATCACTACCACCACCATCATCACCACCATCACCACCATCATCATCACAAACATCATCATCACAACCACCATCATCTTCATCATCAGCAGCAGCATCATCAGCATGATCATCATCATCAGCAGCATCATCGTCATCGTCATTATCATAGACATAATCATGATAAACAACAACATCATCAACAATAGCAGCATCAGCATCATCATCAGCATCCTCATCATCAGTATCATCATCATCATCAGCAGCAGCAGCATCATCATCATCATCATAATCATCACCATCAGCAGCAGCAGCATCATCAGCAGCAGCATAATCAGCATCAGCATCATCATCAACACCATCATCAACATCATTGTCATCATCATCTTGTGTCCTCAGTCTTGAAGGCAGTTGGGCCGTCTAGACGTGCGCTCCTCCTCCTCCTCCTCATCCTCCTCCTCCTCGTCCTCCTCTTCCTCATCCTCCTCCACGTAAAGTTAAGCAGCCGAACGGGCCACAACTTGGCCAGCAGCAGGACGATCGGCAATGGAAGACAGTTCTGACTTTCGGGCCCATGCGGAGACAGCAAGAGCCGAGTGACGTTTTCGGACGTTTCCGTCGTTCTACTACCGTTTTCGCGCCGCCGCCCCCGCGAGGAACGCCTCTCCGACTCAGGCCGCGATGCGCGAAGCGCGATTACCTTCGAGCCCCTGGGAGGCGACCTAGGGAATGAGAGCACAGCGCTGAGACCACATTCCGCCGACGAGCGCGGCGAGCCAGGTGGGGGCCGCGACGAGCCTGCGCGCGCCGTCGGGAAGGGCGCCAGAGATGACGCTCGAGAGGGTGAAGAGTGCCCGAGAGGAGCGGAAGGGAAGATCGGATCGGATCGACTCGGCTGGCATGCGCGTCTGGACCCTGCCCTCCCTCCCCCGCCCACTTCGGCCGCGCTTGCCTTGCCCGGCGGCCTCTGGGCAGGCCTTACCAGAAGGTCGCCCTTCGCTCCTGGAGGTCTCCGCGCTCTGCTGTCGAGCGGAGAGGTCCACCTGGCCCCCATGCTGCTGCTTGCTGGGGCCCGCCTCAGCCCAGCCTTTGTTTGCGAGGAGGGGCGCGAGGGAGGGAGATGGGGAGGCAGGGAGGGAGGGCGGCAGGGTGGGAGGAGAGCGACCCTTCGCTTCTTCGAGAGGAAGAGGGCGAGGAGGAGCGATCCAGGATCCAGGGTGCTGTTGACGCTTCGTCCAGACCGCCGCGGCTCTGGGCGGCCGCAGGGGTCTCAGAAGGTCCTGGCCCAAGCTCCGAAAGGCGCTGGGCCTGGAGCCCGAGCCCAGATGGGCACCAGTTCCTCCTCGCCCTTCCGTCGGAGCGAGGACCCCGCGGGCAGCCGACGCGCCAGCGCGCGAGCGCGGCCCTCCCGGCCCCTCGTTGGCTCCGAGGTCTGCCCCACGCGGCCCTCCAGCTGCCCGGCAGGAGCTGGACGCCGGCGCGACAGCGGCGGGGGGGGGGCGGAGGAGGAGGAGGAGGACGAGGACGAGGTGGGGGCCGAGGAGAAGGAGGAGGAGTAGGACAAGGAAGTCGAGGAGGAGAGGAACGAAGAGGTCGAGGAGGAGGAGGAGGAGGAGGAGGTCCAGGAGGAGGAGGAGGAGGAAGAGGAGGAGGAAGAGACGGGCGTAGAGGGGGTGCGGCGCCGGCCCCCGCCTGCGAGAAGATGGACGCGAGCGCGCCTGGAGCGGCCGCCAGCTCGCCGCGCTCGCCGTCGGCGCCGAGCGGCGGCGGAGGGAAAAGCGGCAGGCGCGCCCGCGGTGAGCTCCACGACGCTCGTGCCGCCAGGGGTGCTGGGGGGCAGCGGCCGAGCTCGGTGTGGGCTCGGAGGGGGGAGCGGCAAGGGAGAAGCAGGGGAGCGGAGCCCACCCGCCGCGGAGCTCGATGGCGCGGGCGCGGAGGTGTGCGGGGTGCGGCTGCGGCT